ATGGTGCGGTGTCTGTTATTGCCTGTTTCTCAGAATTGGGGGCCGAGGAGCCTTTCTTGTTGCTGCCTCTTCCCATATTCTCTGTTCCTTATATATGCAAGCTTATATGAGAGGCCTAGCTTCTCTCTCTGTCAGCCACAGCCTGATCGAATTGCGCCGGTTAGGTGTTTCCACTCACTGCTGCACACCAGGCAGCCTACGCGGGGGCCCGCCCCTCCCGGCCTCCGTCAGGCTCTGGGATCTGGGTTGGGCCAGCCTACGGGGTCCGCCGGCAGCGTCACGCAGGCCAGGCACTTTTCACCAATCCCGCCCGACAGGGGAATGTGTGGCTGGAGTCGCCAGGGCGCCCTGCTCCCGCAGGACTGCCCGGGCCCAGAAAGTCCGCTGGAGTCAAACTGTGGTGGAGTGTCAGTTTCTCTCACTCACCTCGCCACAAGTCAGAACATGCCTCCCTGCCTGTCCTGTTTTCGACTCCGTTCACAGACTCCCGTTCTCAGAGTTTCCGTGCGTCTCTCTCCTTGCCGAGCCGACGTAGAGGCAGCCAGCCACCGCGCGGCGGGAAACCCAAATGGCGTGGGGTCCAGCCTCAGCAGCGAGGCTTTTCTGTTCCTGTTTTAGCACCAGGACTGCATTCCAAGTTGGTTTCTCTCAGCCGAGTTCGTTCCTGAGTCAGCAGAGCATAACTCCACCTGCTTATGTCTCTTTAGTCTGCACCATACCTGGCTTCTGAGCCTAGTTTTCAGAGAGCCTCCGGTAGTTGTTGTTATCTGTCCGCCATGTTCTCCCGGAAGTTTCTAAAAGTTTTACCATCTCTTAATGGCCCCACTCAGGGAACTAAGCTTTTAGTACATGGACCTTTAGGGATCACTCAGTACATAACAGCTGGTTTGTTGGGTCATAAATGAGCATCTTTTCATTGCATTTTACCTAGTAGAAATGGCAAGGGAGCTCTCTGGGCTGTTTTTTGGAGGGTGGGTACCAGAAATTGAACTCAGGACTTGCAAGTGCCAGGCAGGCACTGTGACACTGAGCTATATCCCCGGCCCTGGACTCTCTTTTATAAGGGAACTAATCTCATCCAGGAGGGCTTCACCTTCAACCCAGTCACTTCCCAAAGGTACCACCTTCAAATACCTTCACTTTGAAGGTTAAGATTCAAAATGAATTTTAGGAGGACACAAACATCCAGGCTATATACAGAATGTATAATGGGATCTGTTCTTTTTCACACCCAAGGAGATGCCAATGATGGGCAAGGGAAGAGTGGAGGAGGAAGGACTCTGAAAGGGCACATGAGGGCTGGGGAGGCTGTCCACTGCGGATGAACAGGACATCAGTCACTGAAGAGGAGAAAGTGGAATATTCCAATGGTGTGAGTGGCTTGGGCAGTGGTCAGAAGGTAGAAACCTCCATGGATGATGCAGGAGACACTGAGGACAGCAGGCAGGAAGAACAGCAATGAAAGTTGAAGACATAAAGTCATTGTCATAAAAGGAATAATAATTTCCAACAGTTGGTACTTACTGTTCTCCAGACACTGTCCAAAAGTTATAGAGTATTACCTTATCAAACCCTCACAATAGCTTTATGCAACAAGTTTTATCTGTTCTTTACAGATGAGCAAGCTGAAAGGTTAAGTAACTTGAAGGTTGCACGTCATTAAGTAGCAAAGCTGGAATTTGATCTGACAGCAGTCTGACTCCAGAATCTGTGCTTTGTTTAACCCACTTTAATAGGGTAATGGCTGTCTGTAAAGAGCTAGGAATTTTGGATATTTTTCCTTGGGCTACAGAAAAAAAGTCTCAGCAATACTTTTGAGCAAGAGAGGATATATGGAGCCAGAAATGTCTTACATGTCTGGGGCAAAGGCCTCTCAGACATATTGAGCACCTTCTGTGTGTAAGGCACATTCTGTGTGTGAGACACCGGGATACAGAGAGCAAGGCAGAGACCGTGGTTTTACAAGCATTCACTTAGTTCACTGATGGAGACAGAGGTGTGCTGGAGTGGCTCAGTAGCCTCCAGAGACCATTATGTCCCTCTCTTATCAGTTTATCAGTGATATCACATTGGAGGTTTGAAGTAAACCACAGTGAGCATACTTAGAGATGGGCTTTGGTTCATGTTTCAGATCAGGCCTTTTCCCCCAGGGAGCTGGTCGTTGAATATTTACCAGTACCACACTGCCTGCGAACAACTGCAATTGGGTGATAAAGTCTTCTTCAGGTATGGGAAGGGCAGCGGGAGCCAGGGGCGGGGTGGTGGTGGTTGGGGACCAATCCTGCTTGGTGGAGCCAGAAGGCAAGGCTTATGCAGGGTGGGGCTGAATAAACAGATGTTTGCTATGCAGATGTATGGTTTCTGTTCAGATGCCCCCACAGCCTCACACAATCCTGGATGTGGACAAATTTAGTTTGTGATTGGTTTGTTGTCTAGTGCTCAGATTAGTGGTATGGGTGCTACATCCACCCAGGGGTGGAGCCAGCATACAGTGTAAAGGCGGGAAGAATGTCTGTCTTCTCTCTCTTTTGCCTGATTTGCACTTTACTACAGAAATGGCCATGAACTGCTGCCCTTCAGCCATGTCATTTTGCCTTGGAGCCAACTGAGTATGGACTATAAGCCTTCCCTTCCCTAACTTTGGGTGTCAGGTATTTTGTCTCAACAAGGAGAGAGAAAAGTAACTAAGGTAGAAGACAAGCTAGTAAAGGGAAGTCCAGACCCAAGTGTGAAATGGCATGGTGTATGGTTCTGTTCTGCGAAAGGAAACTATAGATGTGAAGAGTTTGCTGACCTGTAAGTTACTAAAGGGAGTTTATTAAGCAAATCCAAGATTTATAAAGTGAACTAATTGGGGTTGGACAGAGAGTACCCTTTGTTTTTTAGCTGGCCTGATCTCTAGAGGATTTCAAATGGGGCTCAGCTGGCCTGTGTCCAATTCCCACTAAAAGGAAATTCAGGCTTTGGGGACAGACCTGGCATAAGAAGAATGGGCGGGAACGCTCTAGGGCTGCCACCTGACTGGGAAACGGTGACAAAGGCTTTGCAGTGCCCTGCATACTGTGTATAAAGTTGAGGCCCAGCACCGTCGGGTATACTAGATTGAGAGGTGCTGCCAAGAAGAGCCGGGTAATGGCAATCTCGTCTTAAAGCTTGTTTTGCCATCTTTTGTGGGGTCCTGGGTGCTATGGGTGCACAGTAATCCTGAGATCAGTCAGATTTTTCCTCAGTGGCCCTTTGGTCCCTATATCCCAGAATGGGTAATTGTGTCACCAGATTGTCTCTGCAGCTCTGCTGGTGCCACACCAGCCCTAAGGCTCTGGAGGAGACAGAGGGCACTGGACTGGCTGGGAAGATGGCGTTGCTAACGCCAGGACTCTGCAGGCCTGGAAACCAGCCCAGCCCTCACTTTGATGCATCTGTTTTCAAGGTTGTTTTGTTCTAGAGGATGATCACAGGGCCTTGTTTCTCTGCCAACCGCCCCATCGGTCCTGAGCCTCCCCGGATCCGGGCAGACGCAGCTGGCCAGTGTGAAAAGACTGCAGCCAGGAAGGGGTAGGCTGGTGCTGACCTTTGCTAGGACCCATTTGCAACAGATTATTTTAGGAGTAATTTGTAAAAGGAAGCTGGGGTTGGAGTGAACAAATGGGCAGTTACACAAATGCTGTAATTCAGGCCACACAGTGGTTTATAAAACCAGGAGGTTGCATCATGGGCTGCTGGGCTATATTGAGCATTGAGATGTAGGCAAGGGGTGACCATGGCCACCCTTGCCCAGTGGGCTCCGTTCCCAAGTAGAACAGGGTCATGAGGTTTGGTCTTTTATAAAAGGGCAAATGGCTTTTAGTGATCTTAATGGTATAAGATCACAGCAGAGTGCCTGGCCTTTAAGCATGCAGGGACCCTGGCCTGGGCAGAACTCTCAAGGTGGCCATACCAAGGTGCCTTAATAGTTCCCTCTAGCACTCTGACCATTCTTCTGCCCGTGTGGGACTACATCTGGGACTGGACAGAGAGCTGACAAGCTGCTGTGCATCTGGAATTGCCTCTTCAGCTGGCTTTTGCTGGGACAAGGACTTCACTGGTATAAAGCTGAGTCTCGGTGCAATCACTATTCGGTCTCATGCAAGGGGTGGGCGGCCCACAGGCAGCACGTCCCTGTGCTCCACATGCACTCTGCCTGTCCTCCCCACTGGGCTGCGACACCTGTGCATCCGTATGTTCCCTCTCACGTTTTTGCTGAGATGGCTGAGCATGTCAGACTGTGCTGAGCACACCACCTGTCCCTGTCATTGCCCCACGCAGTGGCTATGAGAACACACTCATCCTCAATCGCCCTCTCTGCCTGGCAGCCATGTTTCTTTTCTTTTTTTTTTTTTTTGCTGAGTTCATAGTGCACTCCTTTTTTATTCTGTCAGTATCCAACCTGCCCTCAAGGGCCCCATTGGACCATCCATAAAGCCCTTTCTGAGAAAATCTCTCTCTCCTGAAGTTCCCGAAGCACGGTGTGAAGCTCTTGGCCTCTTCCAGGGTATATGTACCTTCTGGAGGCACACATCCGGTGCCCTGTAACGGTTTGTTTAACTGTGCCCTTCTAGACTCTTTGTTCCCACAACTACCTCCTCCAAGAGCCAGTTACTGATCTCTGTAAGCCAGGCCCAGCTTGGAATTTCCACATGGACTAACTCACTTAAGTTGTATAGCCCTGGGAGGTAGGGGCTGTTACTCAATGAGGAAGAAGCCAGCTACCCGGCCAAGGTTACACAGCATGTGATGAAGCCAGGATTCAAATCTGCATGAATCTGATTCAAGACTGGGGTTTTAGCCAGGTGTGATGGTACATGCCGGAATCCCCAGCACTCAGGAAGCTCAGGCAGAAGGATCATGAGTTCAGGGCCAGCCAGGGTTAAATATTAGGACTTTGTCTCAAAAAACTAAACCAAACCAAATCACAAGGAAGGAGGAACAAGGTTTTTTCCCTTATGAACAAACACAGGTAGTAACTGTTTATCATTTATTTCACATAGATTATTTCATTTGATCCTCACAACAGCCCTGTGAGGTAGTAGAGTTATGTATTACTGTTATGCCCATTTCGCAGATGAAGAAACAGAAGTGGCTCAGTGAGATGCATGACCTGCATAAAGTCACACCGCATGTTAGTGGCTTCACATGTTCTGCACTTTCTCTAAGTCAAGCTGCTTGAATTAGGAAGCACCAAAAAGAAGGAGAAGTTTTATGGAGAAAAAAGGGCAGTAATTGTTGAGATTTCTTCCTCTAATTCCTTTGCTGTGACCACATGTTGCCTAGTCTGGACTGGATTCTCTTTGAGGGAATTTCCAGAGTATCACTGACTCGGTGGCCTGGGCAGCTGTCATAGAGATTCCTGGGTCCTACTGTACAGAGGGAGAGGCCTTTATTGCCCGAAGCCCAGCATACACAGGGTGTCACTGTGGGAAGCCCCTTGATCTACCTTCTGTGGACGTCTGTGCCATCAGGCTTCCTTGGTCTGTCTGAGGGCCTCTTCCCCGTTAAGGAAGTCATATTCACTCCAGAGATGAATCGTAATATGCAGTCTGGAGGCCTGTGAGGCTTATTACCTTCCGGAAACTAATGACTTGGAGCTTCTTGCTTGCATCACACCTCAGGAAGGCCCACAGACTAGTTAGGACAGACACAACACCACAAGAGAAGGCCACCCTCTTGAGAAGCATCTTCAGGCCTGGGCACTTACTCCAAGGGCAGCATGACAGATCAGACACTACACAAGGCTCCTCTTGCAAAATGCCTTCCAAGACCTTCTCTTTGCTCTGGATCTCCTCAGGCAATGAATCTTCATCTCCCAACCAAAAATGGTCAAAAGGCCTCACTGGTTGGTGGAACACAGTTGGGGTCACAAACAAGGCAACATCATAACCAAAGGGGACCAACATACAGGGGATGGAAATGATCTAACTTTGGCTCCAAATACAGATCCCAAAGGGGAATCCAAATTCTGAGTCACAACATTTTCAGAGTAAGTGCCTGATCTCTCAAGGTGACTATTGTGAAAGCAAAGATATACATTTGGGTGATAAGGAAGGTATGAAATCAAGACCTAGCTAAGTAAATGGCAGGGCAAACTTTTGCTTCATACAGGAAGAACCTTCTAATATCAGTACCATCCAACCATGGCAGTGGGGACAGTGAGCTGCTTGTTACCGGAGGTATGCAAATAAGCATAGGAGACCCCTTGGAGGTACTCAAGCAGAGGTGCTCATTCCCAATGTGCTGGAGTGTCTTGGGGGCTGGGGATGGCTAAGCAACCACTCACTGGATTATCTTCCAACCCTGAGAATCCATACTATATTTGCTGCTTCAGTAATACCTCAAATTTTTTGGAAAAGGACCGCAAAAGTCAAGTATTAGGCTAGATGATGAAGTACCTTTTATTACACTGGCTTCAGATACTTTCATGTCTTTGCAGGGACAGCACCCCATTTCTGAAACCAGAAATCCCTGGATTCGGCCCAATTGAGAGAAAAACCCCCAACTTCTGGACCCTGCCTGGATGTTCTCTTCTAGGCTCAACTCTTCCCCTGAAAGGGTGCCACTGAAGAGCTCTGGGAATATGGTCACCCCGGTCCAAGGTCCTGGTCTTATCGTACAGAGGGAAGGACAGGTGTGAAGGGATCTGCGGGCACTTTATGTCCTGGAAAACGGAAAGGAGTTCCTTGCTCTTGTCCACTTATTTATAGATGGGTAAATGAGGCACAGGCCAGTGTGCAGAGAAGAAGCAGAAATGAATCTGCTGCTTCCTTCTCCTGGCTAGGAAGTCCTCCTGTGGACTCCTCTTGTACACATCAGCTAACTCTTCATTTGTCATAATTAATCGCCCATCTCTAGAAAGATGGCAAGAAAAAGGTGGTTCTGCCCAGAGGATGTGTGGATTCCAAAAGATGGACTTCATCAAAGGGGAATCAAGTCCTGCTATGCAATTAATACCGGTTAGTATGGTACCCTGCCTCACCCTACTGGCGAGACTCTCCAGGCTGACATGGACATTCTTGGGAACCATTGCCCCAAAGTTGCTGGGGTCTTTTTACCTGTACCGTATTAACCGAATAATCTTATTATTCATCAAATCCAGAGCATGTGGGTGAGAAGAATCAATGCAGAAGCCATCGCTCAGAGCAATTTTCAGAACCTCCTCCACAAAGACCTGAAAGCTGTTGATCTGCTTGTTGGCGGGCACCACCCACAGCCTCTTGAGGTTCTGCTTAGTGTATTCCTCTTCTGGCAGGCCCTCCACATTGGCTACCCAGTCCAAAGTCAGGTGGTTGGGGTCCTGCAAGTGGCTGGTGATGGAGGAGAGATTGCCATTGGAGCAGTAGAAGAGTTTAGAACCAAGGAGTTTGAGGAAGAGGCAAGACGTGCTGAAAATGTTGGCATTGAAGACTTCCATGCTGGAGGACGACAGGCTGTAGATCTGGGGCGCCTCCCGCACAGTGAAGTGGACTGTCTGCACACGCTGCTTCAGTGTGATGTTGAGCATGGCATTCTTCTCTGCTTTGGAGAGCTCCACTTCCTTCTCCTGCAGGGCCTCAATCAGTGGCTGAACCTGGTAGAAGTCAGCCTCCCTGCGGAGCAGGCCCATCTCCTGGAAGTCCTCAGGGAGGTCCAGGTGGGAGGTCCGCAGGAAGTTGAGGATGTAGCGGAACACTTTGCCATCACGGTCAATGAAACAGTTTCCCTGGCTGTCCCTCTTGGTAGGCATCTTCCCACTAAACATGGCCCCCAGCATGGAGTCAGGGAAGCTGGTCAGGGTTGCCAGTGAGGTTGTGTAGAGCTTCCCCCCAACATTCAATGTAATGGGGTCAGACATGGCAGGAGACTGAGCTACTGGGAAACAGTCCTAGAGAGGGAGAAAATAAGAAATGATTATTATGCAAGCAAACCTGGGTAGTCACAGTTCGTAACTCTTAATTGTAGATTAGGCCTACATTTTCTAGGGTTGAAAAATTAGTACGTAATGAATGGTACCAACTGCCACACTATGTAAAGACATTAGATTCAATAAGGTAAAAAAAAAAAAAGGAAACAAAGTTGGGCATGGTGGTGTGTATCTGTAATACCAATACTGGGTGGGGAAGCTGATACAGAATGATCACAAGTTCAAGGCTAGCTTGAGCAACTTAGCAAGACTCTTTCTCAAAAATAAAATAAAAATAAAAATAAAAATGGCTAAGGGTGTAGCTCAGTGTAGATTGCTCTGGATCCAAATTATCAGCACTGAGGGCAGATGAGGGAGAGAGAAGAAGGAGAAGGGAAAAGAAAAGAGGAAAAGCCTGGGTCCCACTCACTAGGAAGTCCTTGGTCTGGAACATGGCCTCAGACTGGTATTTTTTTTTTTTTAAAGAATTGCCAACATCACTATTTTTTTTTTATTTTAAAAGAATAAAACCAATCAAAATGAAAAAATGAAAGTGATACAGGTGTTACAAATCTGCTCATATCTTCAGACATAATAAAATCAAACAAAACAAAATGGAAAATCAAACAAAACAATAAAAATGATATAGGACTTCAAAATAAGATAAAGGCAAAACAAGATAATAGGAAATTAACAATGGCTACCATAATCTATTTTCTTATCTTCAAATAGTTGTCCAGAGATCATCATAGGCATGTAAAATTAACCAATCAATACGAGAACTGTTGCTTCTTTACTTCAGTTGTTATTTTTCAGAAGTTTTAGGTGTGTGACTTCTAATTTCTATTATATATGTGTCTCCTGAACCTGCTCTTTGTGGGCTGGGGTCTGAGATTGTATTTTGCTCCTTTCTCTTGACATTTTCCTGTGTGCCTCTGAATCAGCCCATTGCTGCATCCCTGGTGCTTCCTGCATTGGCTGCCAGTCCTTTGGTGTAGGTGACTGGGTAAGGCAGCTGGGTTCCTTTGAGCCCATATTCCTGGAGTGGTAGAGATGCACAAGGCGGTGGGTCATCGATGCTCTCCTGATAGTGGTGGGACCTCAGGGCATAGCTTCTTCTCTGGGCCCACAATGGGCTTACTGGTTCGCTCTGGGTGAGTGGTATGGGGCTTTAGGGCATGGCTTCTTCCTATTAAATTCATTTGGTCCTATTAAGTCTAGATTTTGTTTAGCTCTGACATTTCTTTGCTGATTTTCTGTCTAGTTGATGTCTCTCAGTGACAATGGGGTACTGAGGTCTCCTGTTACAATTGTGCTATTGCTTATTTGATTTTCCATGTTTACCAATAACTGTCTTATACAGTTGGATGCTCCTGTATTAGGTGCGTATATATTTAATGTTGTTATGGCATTTGTGCTGTCTCGTTGCATCTTGATCACAATCAATCTTGTGTTATTCTTCTTTGCTTCATTTGGAGATGTTGGATTGATTTCTCATGGTCTCTTGCTATTTTTAGGATATCTTTCTTTTTATGATCGCTAGCTGCAATTCTGTTTAAACATCTGAAAGTCTATCCTTTCCTTCAATCTGTTGCATATACTTTCAACGGAGGTTTCAACCTCCTAGATCTCTTTTAGTATCTGTTTCATGGAGTCTGTTTCTCTTCTATGTTAGGCATTTTTTGTTTCCATCTTTTGCTAAGCTCATCTATTTCTTGTGTCTTTGCTAGTATCTTTGATTTTAATAAAGTTTCTTTTGGTATCTGAGAGATCATTTTCTCTAAGCTCTTGATTTTTCACTTCTGTTGTTATCATTTTCAAAAATTCCAGTGTTTGACTTCCACCTTCATCGTCTTGTTGGGTTCCAGGCCTGTCCTGGGTGGGCTGGGGGGCTGGGGCCACACCTCACCTCTGCATCTTGCCATTTTCCACCTTCTCCTTTTTCTTTTATTCTGTCTTCTATGTTGATGCCTGTCAACCTTCCATGATACATAACTAGACCACTAGCATTGAGCCCTCTCTCAAGGAGGAAAGATGCCCAGAGTTCAAATGCTGTCTTTTTCATGCTGCTTCAGATACTTCCATGTTCCTGGCATCACTGATTATTTTGCCCTCCAAAGGTGTGTGTGTGTGTGTGTGTCTGTGTGTTGGGCTGTTGTCCTGGATCTTGGGGTTCCCCTCAGTCTTACATTCTTCCAATTGGCCTGCTTCTAGGATGCAATGGAGGAGGCCTGGAGTGCAAATTCACCGTTGTCCAGCTAGCCTGCCCTCTGGGATGAGACCAGACTGGTATTTTTAAAAAATCTTCCCTGTGATTTTAAATATTCAGTGAATATGGAGAGCCACTGGTCTAAAGGAAGAAAGGAAAATGTGTCTACAACATTGCATGTTTACATATATACTTGCTTATATAATAGTCATAGCATCTTTGACCAACCAGTATCATTATCCATCCCTGTAGAGCAGATGAAAACTGTGCTAGGCTTCATTCTTTTCACTCAGAGAGATGAAGTGACTTGGCAGTATTCAAACTCATATCCTTTTTTTCCTTTCGGTACTGAGAATTGAACTCAGGACCTTGTACTTGCCAAGCAGGTGCTTATGCTGCTGAGCTATATCTGTGGCTCACATTCCTTTTTATGAATGAAAATGTATAGACATTAACCAAAGGTTGGTATAGTCTAGACACGTAATAAAAGCTTTGGGATTTATGATTATAGACACAGTACTCTTACTGTACCAATGCTACCTCTGAGACCCCTCCTTTTTTTTTTTGTAGTTCTGAGGATCTAATCCAGGGCTTCACACATGGTAGGCAAATACTCTACCACTGAGCTACATCCCCAGGCCTGAATTTAACTATTTTTTTCCTTGCAAAGTATGTATAGTGAATAGCTTTGATTGGCGTTACTTCCATCTATTTACTGGACCTACAATTTGGACTTTTGGCATCCAAATGACTATTCTTTATGGACTCCCCTACTCCTGTGCCAACCTGCCTTGGTATGAAGATGTTCTCGGCTTCTGATGGGTGGCCTATCCTTCCTACCATGATCCATTTTCCCAACAGCCTCTGCAATTGACTGCAAGGTCAGTAGAAATGTGGGACTATGCTCAGAATACCATTCCTGAGGGCTCTCTACCTACTCTTTTACAAATCCCCTCTCCCTCATCTTACAACTTTTAGCACCTAGGGCTGGTGAGTCTCCTCAAACCTGAATTCTTAGATTTTAACTACTCTTTAAGGCTGTAGAAAGCAGGAGCTATACCCTCTTAGCTTCCAACATGATACCTTTCCCATTTGTAGAATCAATTCAGCCATCTTACCTTGGCAATTGAGGTGAAAGCCACATGAGAAATTAGCCCAGTGCTGCCCTCCAAAGATTCCAGTGAAGGCTCAGTGACAAGACAGTTGTAACAAGGGCCGGGGCAATAGGCTGCAAATGAATTCTGGCACACAGAAACATCTTGCTAGGCACACTTACTCTCCTGCTAGGGAAACAGAGATCCATGGGCGAGGACTTCCCCAAAGTTAGCCAGCAGAGGTGGCTAGCACTTTTTACTATGTGTCTGCATTCTGAAGAGGATGACTGCACTTCGACTCCCTTTCTCCAGAGAATGGGGGCCAGGTGGGGTGTGGGAGATGCTCAGCTGTTTTGCCCAACTGCCTGTGGGGAGGGGGGAAATCCTTGTGCTTCCTTCTCGCTCTAATGGGGCACTTTAATATTGCAAAAAGGCATTAACCATCTGGAATCTGAAGATAAACCCATGATGAAGTTATAAAATTGTCAGCAGATGCCTGGAACAGATGGGCTGCGAGACAGGGTGTGTGGGATGTCCAAAAGAAAGGGGTAGGTGGCGTGAAAGGCGTGGCTGCTGGTGTGGCTTTCCGAAGCAGCAGCTGGGAAGTGCGTTGGGGAGCTCAGGGCTAAATGAAGCAGAAGCTGGATTTGGGGTGGGTCAACTCTGACCCACTCCAGAATCCGCCCCCCGCTTCCCTTCTCTCAGAATGTCTTCTCTAACTTTGTTGTCTTTCTAGATTACAAGTTCTATATTTTAGTTTTCAGCCTCTCTTCTTGTAAAAAAAAAAAAAAGTCAAATACTCCCCCCCCCCTAAAAAACCCACCCATATTAGACTTCAGGTCCAGACTCTGTGAAGTGACTTAGCTCCAAAGAAGGACTAAGCTCAGGATTCAGGGAGGTTGGGCTGCCTTTCCTGACAGTTCTGCAGACTGCAGACACATGACTCCTCACAGAGATGAGTGCTGGAGGGCTGAGGACACTGTGGGCCAGGCAGTCAGCAGCAGCCCACAGGCATTCCTGGGGGACCTGCCTGAACTCTTATTTGTCTGCCTGCAAAAGCAGCAGAACACCTGCTTTCCTGCCTCCACCATGACATCACGGCACCAGTCATTTGTCTGGAGAGAGCTGCAGAGTCACAGTCAGTAGTGGCAGACTGGTCAGAGGGCAGGCTTGCTGTCCCCAGTCCAGTGTACCTCTGTGATGAGTCACAGAACTCTGTCCTCCAAAGCCTTGTGTTCTAGTGACAGTCCCCTGGAGTCTACCATTACACACCCACAGGCTCTGTCATGAAAGGCACAGGGACATGACACAAAGATACAGGAGCTGGCACCTCTGGGGATCTGAGGAGCTTCATGGGAGAAGCAGTGAGGTAACCACTGAGGTAGTGCTCCCACGGGCACCCAGCTCCCTCCAGCCATTTCCACCTGGATATCCCAGCCGTCTGAGCCTGACAGAATTCCTCTACCCCTAGCAGACGGGCTCTCCGATGCCAAAGCCCAAGACCCAGGAGGCAGCTGGGACTCATGCCTTGACTCTTCTTCAAATCTATCCCTAGAGCTGCTGGTGGAGTGCAGGCCCCATCCCTGATCCCCGTGCTTGGCTCCCCGCTTTCTGTCCACTCTCCATTCTGGTCTGCAGATGGATGCTCCTGAAGTGCTACTCTCCGCCCAACCAGCTTG